GGGGAGGCATAGGTGAGCTTGGGAAGTATGAATGTTGTGTAAACACTGAGGAGCTCGGGTGCAGGAACTCCGAGGGACTTGAGTCGGCGGAGGAGGTGGAGACGGAAACTGGAGGATTTGACAACTTCACTGACGTGTGGTTTCCAATTTAGTTTGTTGTCTATGGTGACGCCGAGGAGCTTCGTGGAATCTACAACCTGGAGTGTGTTCGGACCCTAGAGTAATGGAAGGAGGTGGGACAATGTCGGAGGAGAGGTTGATGTGCATAACCATGGTCTTGGTATGGTTGATGGTGACATGGTTGTTGGTGGCCCAGTTTTGGAGACTGTTCAATAAATCCTGAAGGGCGGTATAGTTGGGAGCAGAATTGTTGACGCTGATCCCAATGGTGGAGTCGTCGACATATTTCCAGCGAGCAGGGGTTTCTCTTAGGGCATCATTGATGAGCATAAGGAAGCAGAGTGGTCCCATCTTGGTGCCTTGGGGGACGCCACAGGTGAGTGACTGAAAGGTGGAGACAGCCCCTCGGAAGCGTACAGCTTGGCGTCGGTCACTGAGGAAGTCTGTAAGCCATGGTATAAGACTTCTCCGAAGCCCGAGGTCAATAGCTTTGTTGATGATTATATTGTGGTCGACTAGGTCGAACGCTTTAGTGAAATCAATGAAGGCGACAGCTACAGACGTTTTTCGTTTCTCGAGATGGCGGTATATGTAATCGAGAAAGCTGACAAGACAGTGAGTGGTGGAGGAAGTTTTCATGTTGCCAAATTGCTGAGGGTCTACGACTCCTGCAATATCAGCATTAGCCCAGTCGAACACAAAACTTTCACAGATTAGGCTGGGTATTGGGGTAATTGCAATAGGTCGTAGCTGATTTAAGGATTGTGGGCTGGTTGACTTGGGCACTGGTGATACATAAGAGGTCTTCCAGTCAGCTGGGCATCTGGCTTGGCTGAGAGAAGCATTGATGATGGAGCATAGGGGTTTAGCAAGCTCCGGGGAGAACTCCTTGAAGAGTTTCATTGGTAAGTCAATGGGGGTGGTAGAGCGTTTTAATTTCAGTTTGTCCAGGCGTTTTGCTACTTCAAATTCTTCTACTAAGTCAGTGGGAAGGGGGGCTGGTAGGTAAGCAGGGAGAGTGGTTGTGTCAAGCCGTGGGAGCGTCTGGCATATAGTAGCGAAATGGTGTGTGTTTGTGTGTGTGCGTGCGATTATTAATGAAAAAGTAAGCAACATTAACAACGATATTTGTGAAGTCAAGACGAAAGATAACTTAAAAAAAGACAGAAAATAAATGAAAGTGGTTTATGTGGTTAGGAGAACAGTTGTCAAGTGGGTGTTCAATCTTTTCTCAAGGTTGTGGGCATTCACTTGCCTTATCACGGTTGTCGTGTGGGGCTTTGAGATATTGGTTCACACTCAGGACGTGCTCTCTGTATACATTTTGTATTGGATGTACAATGCAGCTTGGTGCTGGGAAGGCAGCATGGTTACAAGCGTTGAGTAGGAAGAGCTGGTTGGTGAGGATGCTCAGAGGAGGACCAGCTTGTGGGTCGCCATGGTCGCCGGCGGGAGCGAGGGCCACCAGGCAGGAGCGGAGGAGGTGTTGCTTGCTGGTGGCTGTAGGTAGAAAGAGAGAGGTCACCACGAGGTGAGGTCATATATAGAGGAGGTAGGCGTGGCTTGATAATTGACCTCAGTTATGTTAGGCGGCGCTGGTTGCCGACCTTGACCACGAGGCGCAGGCTGGGGAATTCGAGGGTCGGCTAGTCAGCGATACACGGCGTTTGTTGGGGAGGAATTCACTACAGTCGTACAGCTGCTGCCAACGAATCCATTTTATTCTTAATTTAATAGACACATTACTGCTGTGTTTTTCACACATCTTAATTTTCACAATAATTTAAACATATGTAACTGATGTGCATAAATACCATAGTAATATTCTCACAAATGTGGAAGTTGTATAATATGGACACGAAGTAGTACTTTAAGCTGTGTATTCTTATATTACTCTATTAATAATGTATAGTAAACTATTACAGAACATGTATTAATCCTATGTAATGTTTCCATTTATTACACTGCCCTGCATAGTTTTTGAGGTTTGTGTATTATTAAGCTTTTCTGGGTGTATTTTGCATGCTGATCTCAAAAATGTTATCCATTTTGCTCAATCAGGTCAGAATTTTGTGCTATAGCATTTTAAGCGGAGATTCAGGTAAAATATTGGCATTTTTCGCTCAAAATGGGGTCCTCATGTTCGTTCATTAAAAAAATCATCCGAGACATTGGCAAGCCTCACAGAAAAGATTTTGGTCAGTTTTAATGCCCTTACGATGCATTTAAATACACCCACGTGCTCGCCGGCCATTTAAATGTCCGCCATGACGCAAAGGAAAAGAGTATATGTCCGTGTTTTTTTACATATATTTTTTCACAATTAAATTTCTTTTTCATCTGGTGGTACATGGCATGTTTCCTCTGTCTGTGGGACAGTCGAGCAGACAAGCAGCACTACATGCAACGTGACTGGCCTGCAAGAAGTGGACTTACTCCAGGTTCTCACAATGTTGTTGCCCATGCTCTGGTGAATCCACAGAACATTCTTCTTCTGCCACTGCACATCAAGCTCGGTCTGTTCAAAAACTTTGTAAAGGCACTGGACAAAAAAAGCCAGGCTTTCAATTTTCTGAAAGAAAAATTTCCAAAAGTCAGTGAGGCAAAGCTGAATGCAGGAATTTTTGATGGCCCTCAGATCAGAGAGCTTTTCAAAGATCCCAAGTTTGATTGCAGCATGGATGTAAATGAGAAGAAAGCCTGGCATGCCTTTAAGTCTATTGTCTCCAATTTTCTTGGCAACTACAGAAGTCCAGAGTATGAACGAGTTGTTGAGGACCTACTTCTGAGCTACAAAGTTCTTGGTGCACGCATGTCCATCAAGATGCACTTCCTCAGCTCCCACTTGGACTACTTTCCAGAGAACTGTGGTGATGTGAGTGAGGAACAAGGAGAACGCTTCCATCAAGATATCCGTGTAATGGAGGAGCGGTACCAGGGTCGCTGGGATATCAACATGCTCGCCGACTACTGTTGGTGTCTGAAACGGGACGCCCCAGACACCAACCACCAAAGAAATTCTCTGCGACAGCCATTTATGCATGTCTAACTGTAAAGGCATCTATGTAGTTGACATATTTTGGTCCTATGTGTTGTGGTTACATTTCTTATGATATATTTTGCATAAAAATTTTGACATCATATTTAAGAATTTCGATTTTTTCCTAATTCCCATAGCATAAAAATCTGACCTGATTGGGCAAAATGAATGGCATTTTTGGAATAAGCACGCAAAATACATAAAGAATCAGCTAAGAAACCCCGCACCTCATGAATTTTTTATTCAAATGCAGCCCAGTGTTATGCACCATCTTATGTATATGTATTATCATATTTACATATGTATTCAGCTTGTGAACTCTGGCATCTGTGCATGCCAGCGCGGAGTGATACATGGAGTTGAGAAAGCTAGTCCTTATGGCGTGGAAGCCACTGTTTATTTGTTCCTCTGTATTTGTCTCCCGTACGAGAATAAGAACCTATTTTCAAGATAACAAGTGTTTGCGTATACCCTCAGTAGTGTAGACCATTTTGGGGGTATCAAAGACAGACATAGAGAAGTGATGTGACAGTATGATTATATATCATCCACACACGCACGCACTGCTGTTTATAATCGTTTGACTGTATCCCCGGTCATAACTCATCAAACAGCAATGTCATGTTGTTCTCAATATTTTTTTCCGCCGTTTTTTGCACATCTGATATTAATCAGTCATATAACAACAAATGACGCTGAGGAAATATGCATTAATGTATCTGGTGAATTTATGCTCTATTAATAACAAAGACAACAAAAGTAGATGTATAAATCTGAGGCTAAATATAACAAGCAATGTATCTCGCTTAGGCTCCTCGAGGCTGATGATCACTTGTATAAAACATTCGTAGGTCAATGTTACACAAGATGAATTTCCTCTCAATTAAATTTTTTCAGCTTTGTGTTTATTTTGAAAATTTCAGTTGGTTACAATTTAATACTAATACTGTAATGTATCTAACATTGGTAGGTAAATTGTTCCTGTCCATTATATCTGTAAAGAAGAGTTTTGTGCACTTGACCCCCGTACACATGCTATTACAAAGTCATGTTTACTGCCCCTAATGCCTTCCTTGATCATCGTCTCAATCCTTACAAAATTCGTCACAAGATATCCTGGACACGAACCACCGAAAATCTTCAAAAAAAAGAAGTGCTTCAGTCCCAACAACCACTCTACTTTACTTGCCACACTAAACATATTCAATGTTTGCAGGACTTCGTGACCAGTATGTTCTCTGGCATTCATACCCCCTCCCCCAACCCTCCCCCCAAAAATCTTGTTTAGATTTATTTGTAGTTTGGCCTTTCTGTTTAGACAGATTACGCTACCATGATCAACAGGAATACTTCAAGAAACACTGTATGAGTACTAAGAAAAAGGGTCCTGTTGAGTCGGTAATTGGCCTGTAGGCCTTGATGTAGCGGCTCTGCACTTGGCTGGTAGTGGGAGCTGGGCTCCTTTGTGCATTTTATAATTTTTTTATTCCTTAGTACACTTGGTTCTAGTGATTTAGTTTCATGTTCAATCTCTATTTTGATCTTAATTGACTGCGTACTGTAGGTGAGTTATCCTTTACCAACGTTTCCCGTTTTCTGTGACTCTACAGCGCGGTGGATTTGAATGTTATGTAGCGTAGTATGAAAAAAAGAGATATTAAGGATGACAATGATGTGTGCAGTACAGTGGGAGTTGGGCTCCTTTGAGCATTTTATAATTTATTTATTCCTTAGCATACTTGGTTCTAGTTATTTATATTCATGTTCAATTTCTGTTTAGATCTTAATTGACAGCGTTGTTTATACGTGTCTTTACTCTCTATAATTTCTTATCTACCAGGTTCAACATGGCTGGGAACTTAACAGACATCGAGTTCTTCATATTAACACCTGATGATTTTCAAGAAACCCTGAGATTCTTCGATGAACAGTTCCTTAAGAGGAACCCTCTCGTAAGATATTTTCAGGTTCATGAACTTTTACAGAGACACCATTGACTTAATATTATTACAAAACAATGCATTAATATACTCCACTAGTAAACGTTCAGTAGGGCATAAATAGTTCAATTTTCCAAGAGGATAAGCTCCCTGCCTACCATTCTTGGTGGTCCTGGTTGGATACCCGGGAATAGGTGATTATATTTTCTGATATGCCTTGCATCTTTGATTTAGAGGTAATTATCCTACTTGTTCAATAGGTACAGCTATATATTATATTATATTGCATGTGGTGTATATTAATGGTGTAATGACCACCGTCGTATGTGTAAGTTAAGGTAAAATCAAACTATTCATATTACACTCAATAGCCCACAAAACATGGCTGTAACTTTTTGATTGAGTTCCCCAGCCGAGGTGTCCGTTTTCTTATCGTTTCAGGACGACTGAGTCCTCCGTTTTCTCTCGATCGTGGAGTGCACCCGAGACTCCGTTATTCCTTAGTATCTCGAGACATGACACAAAATTTAAAATTGCGACTGTAGTTGTATATGTTAAGTCAAATTAGATAGGTGTGATTACAGATGAAACATTCAAGATCCCCTGTGAATGATTTTAAAAACTTCAACTGTCTTTACTGTTTGTAAAACTTGTCAAATAAGTGAGTTTGCCAGTAAGAATGGCATCTCCTAATTTCGTCCTTTGGGATAGCTATGAGTTTCCAATTGCTACTGAAGTTCGATTATTTTAATGCTCAAACCTCAGAGAATCTGATGTTTGTAGTTTGACTATTATCAGTTGTCTATTTAAGAAAGCCATTTTTTTCCTGAAAAGAATCTGTCAAACTCTATATCTCCAAGATCTAAACGTGTACTCATATAGGGCCCTTGTGTGTAGTTTTGCTGAGCCTGTAAAAGTAGCGTTGTTGGCGTGTGTATTTGACGTTCATTTCACCTTTTATTGGCAAGCTCTACCTTTGATTAGATTATAAAAATAGACATAAGAAATTCACCAGACCCATAACACCGATTTTCATAACTAAATGTACAACAGCTGATTCAAATGTTATTACTGTCATTGCCTAATTAGCCTTTCTGGCATGTCTGGCCCATGGCTGAGTTGCCAGATGCCCATATTTAAACGAATGCACGAGGTGGATAGCCCACCTACTGTCAACCTCTTCCTATATTTCTCACAACTGAACTTTACCTTGTACTCTACCCATCTTGCACCCTCAGAGCCAAGGCTCTCTTCTCTCCGTATCACCAACCAACTCTCACGCTCGTGATTCTTCCTCAATGCATCTCCAGGTATATGAACCTTTGTTTCCCGCCGCTATGTTAAATCTGTTTAACTCTGTTGAATTTTATGAATATCAGTGTTCATGAAGAGCTGCAGAAGGATCTCTGTGAGCTCCAAAAATGGTCGAACAAATGGCTGCTGAGATTTAATGTCACAAAGTGTAACAGGGTGCACCTGGGACGTACCAGCCGAAAGGAGGCGCATCATATGTCACAACGAGATGAAGAAACTGCGCTATTTGAGACTGAATGTGAGAAGGACTGAGGTGTGTATGTTGACAATGAACTGAAGTTCTCAGGCCATTGCGAGGAGAAGGTAAGTCAGGCAAATAAATTTTTAGGTCTTATAAGAAGGTCGTTCAGATATCTAGACGGTCCGTCCCTCATAACGATCTTCAAGAGAGAAGTTGCTTCCCCATTTGGAGTACTGTCACCCCGTCTGGTATCCGAGATATACTAGAGACTGTCAGTTGATTGAAAAAAGTTCAAAGGTGGGCCACCAGACTGGTGCCTGCAATTCGGCACCTCAACTACCATGAGAGATTTGGAGCGCCTGAACTTGCCTAGTACTTGCCAACAGTGCGGTCACGTCTCTGTTATGCACTGTTGGCAAGTACTGGGCATGCACCGGCTCCTGAATGTACCTGAACCTGCTCCAGTATTGGTCAAGACTGGTCTTGAAAGAGCTCACACTCGGTGCCATCACAACACTTTCTGGTGGATTGTTCCAAGAGTTCACAACTCTCACTTCGAAAAAGTTTGCCCTCACAGTTTTCTGGACTTGTGGCTTCTTCAACCTTGAGCTGTGACCCCTTATGGGGCGAGCGTCCGCCAGCTCCAAGTAAGGACACTCGGCTGAGTAGTGCCCCTTGAGATGCTTAAACACCTCAATTAGGTCGCCCCTTGCCCGTCTGTAGTATGAACTAGGCAAGTTCAGCCGCTCCGATGTCTCAGGGTAGTTGAGGTGCCGAAGGGCAGGCACCAGTCTGGTGGCCCTCCTTTGAACATTTCCAACCAACTGACAGTCCCTAGCATATCTCGGGGACCAGACGGGGTGACAGTACTGCAGATGGGGAAACACTTCACTCTTGAAGATCGTTACGAGTGACGGACCGTCTATATATCTGAACGACCTTCTTATAAGACCCAATGGCCCGAGAACTTCAGCTCATTGTCAACATACACACCTAGGTCCTTCTCACATTCGGTCTCAAATAATGCAGTTTCTTCATCCCGTTGGGACATATGATACGCCTTCTTACCGTTGGTATGCCCCAGGTGCATCCTCTTACACTTACTGACATTGATTGTCAGCAGCCACTTCTTCGACCATTCTTGGAGCTCACAGAGCTCCTTCTGCAGCTCTTTACATTCCGCATGGTTCTTAATTCCCGAAATTACTTGGTGTCATCGGAAAACATTTGTATGGAGGAGTGTACAACGTCGGGCATGTCATTTATGAAACAAACAAACAACAGCGGGCCCAATACACTGCCCTATGGTACCCAGCTTGTGACAAGTACAGATGATGATTTCGTGCCATTCATCACCACACACTGCTTGCTGTCATGTAGAAAGTCTTCTCTACCAAGCAGTATAGTTATACATGATTGGGGATAATTAGCAGAAATATAGCTATCCCATGTTGAGTATTATAACCATTGATGTTACCAGTAATAACGTTTGTTATGTCGGTTTTGAGTACATCATTCATATGTACTGTATTACCAACTGAGTCCTACCCATTATTGTTGTGCATGATTGGGGATAACTAGCCGAAATATAGTTATCCCATGTTGATTAGGGAACCAATAAATATTGATATTATCAGTAATAACGTTTGTGGGTTGTGAGTACATCATTCATGTGTACTACCAAGTGAGTTCTAGTAAAAGTCCCATGTTGTTCGTTCCGAAATAACATGATGTGCTAAATAATATGTTAATTTGGGATATTGTCAAGTGTGTCAAATAACCATCTGTATTGACCACGAAATAATATAATTATTATTTAATGTTGTAACTAAGAATTGAAGATCTATTTTGCTACTTGTAAAGTAAGACATAAGGGTCCTGTTCTATCTGAGCATGTAAAATAACCATCTTATTTGTCAGAGAAATAAAATAAGAGTTGTTTAATGATGTAACAAGTAAGTTAAGATCTATTTTGTCAATTGTAAAGTAAACCCTACGAGGTCCAGTCTTGTCTGAGTGTATTTAATTAACATCTTGATCACTCCTTATGTTAATAAATATTAAATTAATAAACTGCGAGTACACCTTTTCACATATCCGTTGAGACATTGTTACATAACTATTTGGCAAATTTCATAACCGAATGACAGACAGAACACATATCGAATGACAATCTAAAATAACTGTTGGTTGTATGTCATGCTCCAATTGTTACATTCTCAAACTATATGTAGACTGTTGGTTTATTGTTCACGTCTGTCAACTTCATAACGTATGACAATCATTTCCGTTAGCATGAACGAACAGTTATTTTAGATTGCCATTCGATATGTGTTCTGTCTATCATTCAGTTATGAAATTTGTGAAATAGTTATGTAACAATGTCTCAACGGATATGTGAAAAGGTGCATTACCGCTTATTTACTGCTGATATTGCTCTCTGAAAATAATTACTGTACCTCACGTGCCTAAGCTCGCTCTCACGCTACCTAACAGTTCAATGAGATATGTTATATTGTAATAAAAGTCTGGGTGGTGGCAGGCTACCGTTGTAAGTATAATAAGTGTTATAGGAAGAATGACATGGTTTTCCCAGACTAATCTACGGTATAGAATATAACTGAGCCATGATAAAAGAATATAGAGAAACCTAAAGTATAATATAGAGAGAAAGATAAATAAAAGAACGTGCACAGTTACACTCTTACTTTGTGTAATGTGTATGTTAAATAAATAAGTTGGACATTATGTAGTAGTGAGGTGAAATGGCATGTAATTAGTGACGTGGCTTGATCAATGTGTGTGTCACTGCTCGACAAGCTCAGCTAGCTATATACATATTAAGTAATTTGATGCCTCGATAACCTATAACCCATATTTGAATCTTATATGAAATAACAATTCTTCATTTACAGTGCATAGCCTCCAAAGAGACGTGCAAGGAAGCATTTGGTGAACACCTGAACGTAGCTCTCAAGGAGGCCTTAGAGTCAGGTTTCTCAATGGGGGCGAGAGACAAGACGACCAAGGCTCTCGTTGGCATCCGACTCACTAAAATCACCAGTGTGGACAATGTCTCGAAACAAACTGCAAGTGATGAGGTAAGAAAATACCAAGTAATTTTTCTGCATCAGAATGCTGAGGAAGTCAATACAGTTCAACTGTCCACAGCCTAGATATATATACACAGATATATACTTAGACTTTTGACAGAATAAATCATGAATTCTCTCCAGGGAAATGTTATGAATACACTTTAAGAGAACACTTGAGTTACGTGCTCACCCCTGCGAAAGTGGTAACGATTTGTCACTCCCTCCAAGCGTGTCTCCTCCTCCGAGCCTCACGCTCGGAGGACGAAGAGAGGACGAAGCGTTTTTTTATTTTATTTTTTATTTTTTTTTTTTTAGGGAAAGGAGGAATGAAGGAAGATTAGAGGTGGAGGAAGGAAGTTATAGTTCGGAAATTGAAGAAATTTAGGAGGAGGTAAGAGAGGGCGGGCTGACCGCCTAGCTAAGCTAATAATGTGTTAGGGGTGTGTCATGGGTTAGTTATTGTCTGTCGGTACAGGCACTGGACATCCTACCCTGTCCCATATATGGGTGTTTTGAGGGCCTTATTTCATATTCCGCCGACCCTACTGGCGGATGCTGGTCTAGGGAGGTTGTCTATTGCCTGGCCGTGTAGATCGGGGGTGGTAATGGACCTTTTGAGATTTGTAACTTTTTGGGAACCATGTATGGTTGTTGTCGTTATCTGGTGGGAGTCTTTGAAGGAGTTCTTGCTCTGATCGTTCTATCTTTTGCCAGATTCTGCTGGCCAGGGTGTGCAGCTGCTGGTTGATGGGTTTCATTCTCAGGTCTCTACGTATCTCGGCTGTGGTTCTGGTGAAGGGGTATCTTTCACCTGTGACGAATCTTAGGGCTTCATTTTGGACCGCCTGTAATTTTATTATTTGAGTGGTGCTCTTAGCATGAAGAGGTATTGCTGGGTAAGTTAATATCGGTGTGATAAATGATGTCACCAGGCGGAGTTTTATTTTCTCAGGAAACGCTTTAAAGCGGTATAGTTTTCTCAGCTCTCTTCTTGCTTTTTCCTTCCTGCTGTGGACATGATGGGAGTAACCTGTCGTGGATTTATGTAGGCCCAGGAGGGTGCCTCTACTTTTTTATTCTATCTGGGCATTATTGGTTACTAATGGATGGGTTTTCTTTATGTATAAGGGGATCACTGTGAATTTCGGGAGACTGGTTTGGATTTTCCATTGTTTTTCGTAGTTATTTACCCTTTCTAATTCCCGCCTAGTGTTTTCGGCCTGTAACGCTCGCGATTTTCCTTGATGTGTTGTTATTTGAGTGATGTCGTCTGCATACATAATATCTTCGTTGCCTATTCTAGTGGGAGGCGGGGTGTCACTTGTGTAGATAATATATAGGGTGGGGGAGAGGACGCTCCCCTGAGGGACTCCACTCATGAGTGGGAAGGTCTCTCCTATGTGTTGTCCTACCCTCAGTCTAGCATTTCTGCCGTCAAGAAAGTTGCAAAGCAACTTTTCAATGTTGGTGGGAAGTCCGAGTTGAAGGATCTTATATTTTAGACCGTCGTGCCAGACTTTGTCAAATGCCTTCGCTACATCCCGTAGAGTTAGATTACATTGTCTACCACTCGCCGCGGCTCTGGCTATGTTCTCACTTGCCAGGGCTATCGCTGTTGTGGTGGACTTCCCTTTCCTGAACCCGAATTGTCTGCAGTTGACTCTGTTTGTTGTTTCCAGGTGATTTCTCAGACGGTTATTGATGATTTTTTCTAGGATTTTTCCAGGTACCTCGAGGAGGGAGATCGGTCTGTAGTTTAGTGGGACGGCGGGGTTCTTTCCTTGTTTTAGTGTTAGGGTAATAATGGCCTCTTTGAATTTAGTTGGGAAGTAGCCCGAGGCCAGGCAAGCGTTCATTGTGGTTCTCAGTCTCTTCATGGCCGGGTTGTTTATGTGGCTGAGGATCTCCTTGGTGATGCCTGAATAACCAGGGGCTTTATTTTTGGTATTGGAGATGGCTCTGTTGAGTTCTTCCGGGGTGATTGGTTTGGACAATGGGCTGTCCGCTCTCAGATCCTCCCATATGATTTCAGGGGAAGGCTGAGTGCGGTGTGTCTGGCCCGGAGTTCATCAAGGACGAGCTCCTCGTGGGTACCATCGAATCCCCTATTCTCTTCATTTGTGATTCGGAAGATGTTCCTCCATATGTCCCTCAATATGGGCTCTTTGTCTTGGTCGTCATATATTTTACTTCCTGCGTGGTCAGTTATGAATGATGACTCGTTATGGCTGCAACCTTTCAATCTCTTAACTCGACGCCAGAACTCTCCTGGCTCGTTTTATGTATGTGAGAGTTGTTCAACTATTTCGGTCCATTTAAGGTTGCTTTGTTCCAGAGATCTTGTTTTTATTTCCTCCCGGATTCTTCTGTATGTATTGTAGCTTACGATGTCCCAGCCATGTGTCTCGGCTCTCTGTTGTAGCAGTTGGAACTGGTTTGTGAGGGCTATGAGTTCTGGAGTCTGTTGTGGGTGTGGGAGAGTTCTGTTGCGTTTGAGAGGCTGACTGTCTATGATCTGCAGGATTGTCATGCCCTTGACCTCATGTTCGGCTGTAGCTTTTTCGTTGAATAAGTCCCAGTCGGTGAGGCGTGGGAGAGGATATGATGAGGCATGAAAGCGAGCTAACTGTTTTGATTCATCAGCTGATCTGCGCTCGACTTCAGTGATACAAGAAAGCCGTTAATAATCGTCAATAACAGAGTCCTTGTTGAAGAACTCGGGGGAATAATTTGGGTGTTATTCATGTGGGTGAATATTTATATAAAGCAAAGGAGCTACATTATTACATATATTATCAATAGATAAATTTATTTTTCATGCTGTTATTTCTTGAAGTATTTTTATTTATTTTTAATAATACTTGTATAGTATCTTTAAATATATGTTCTCAACCCAACCCACTGTTAATGATTATATATATGGGTAACGATCTATAATCATTTTCAATTTAATAACTGATATTTAATTTCATAATTCACGTCCAAATTAAGTCGCCAGAGTACGTATACTTAATATTACATGGGTGCAGTTAAAAAACTCTCACTACTGTGCGAGCAGCGCCACCATCACTCAGACGACCTTGAACGACTCGGTACATATCTCCTATATTGGTAATTGCGTCTTTATATAGAGCTCCTCTCAACTGAACAAGGTCTGATTGGCCCACTCCCTTCTGTTTCATGGACGTACTGAGTGTAAAATGAGGATAGCTGAGTGAATGAATGGTCACACACTGAGACCAGGAGTCTAGTGGGTACATAGAGGTACATTTTCCAAGGTTGAGAAGGGCTTGTTTGTGCCTTAAATAATACGGGTGCATGCTTGGTTGTGCCTTAAGAAAATACTGGTGCATGCGGAACCTATGTGTGAGGTTAAGGAGCATGTTTTCACGGGTATTGGTGGACTCAATAACTTCTTAATATTATGATAATATTTTTTCAGTGACTGATATTGTCTTGCTGTGTGTAGTTAATATTTCTTAAATAATTTTGATAGTATTGTTTTTTATGTTTGTGCCACTAATTGATGTCAGATAACGAGGGAACTGTTTTTCAGATGAGGTTCCTCATTTCTGTTGTAATTGATACTGTGATTTAGTTTTCCTTTAATGCATTTAATATTTCTTTATAATTTCAATATCATGTATAACCTTTGTTCCCCAGTGTAGTGTCTTAAGCCAGTTTAAGAGGTGTGCATCTGTTGTTGCAACATAATTTTGTTGAGTGCCCTTAAGGAATATTCATGGTGGAGTTAATAATTTCTTATTTTCTAAACCATTTTCTCAGTGATTGCTATTATTTTGTTGAAAGCCCTTAAGGCCTGTTCATGTGCACAAGCAACTTTTCTTAATACTTTGAATATATTGTTGTCTAATGAGGCATTTTCTAAGTTTCTAATAATTTCAATATCATGTAAAACTTTTATTCCTCAGAGTAGAGTTTTCAGCCAGGTGAAGAGGTGTGCATATGTTGGTGTACCATTACTGTATTGATTGTGTCTGTAGTGTTGGAGGGAATCGAAGTGTCTAAATTTTACAGTGCGTCTCATTCACCCCAATCACAGGTGCTATCTTTCCACGGGTCACGGAGAATTCATTTTGTTTGTGAATTTAAGTGTGTTTGTACTGATTCGGGTTTTTTCTCAAAGGGGCGCTTCCACTGCAATTACCATTTAATAATAATAAACCCCAAGTCAAGTGAGAATAGAATTCCCTTTTTACCTGTTATATATATATATATATATATATATATATATATATATATATATATATATATATATATATATATATATATATATATATATATATATATATATATATATATATATATATATATATATATATATATATATATATATATATATATATATATATATATATATATATATATACACAGTCAACCCTCGCTTTACGCGGTCCCACATTCCGCGTTTCCACGTTTACGCGGTACCCTGCCGAAACCGGAGATGCTCACATTCCGCGGTGCGTGTCTGGCTCGACGCTATTTTTAGATTCGCCCCTCCCGCCTGCTCCCACCTCCGCCTGGGCAAGCCGCGCGGTAAGGTTGCACAGTGCATGTCTCTGTTGCGTTATCAGTGACGTCATATGACGTATCGGACTGTGATTGGCCATGCATCCCTACCTCCCTCCGCTGCTAGCTGTAATTGGTTTAAAGTAATATGACGTGTCCACCCGGGGGAGGGAGGGAGGGAGGGAGGAAAGACGACGCTTGACCTAGCCGCGGCAGTTTCATCCCTCCAGGCCACACCGTGTAATCGTGCATCCATTGTTCTGTAAAATGGCTTCCGCCGGACCACCGCCCCCAGAGAGAAACCTTTCCTTGCCTGGACCCAGCCGCCCTAAGCCCAAGAAGACACGACGTTCCTTAAGCTACGAGGTGAAGTACAAGATCATCCAAGAGTAAGAGAAAGGAACAAGACAGGTTGATTTGGTGCGCCAGCATGGTGTGAACGAATCTACGATCCGGATGATAAAGAAGGATGCAGC